ATGGGATTTCAATGGGATCTCAGTGGGATCTCAGTGGGATCCTAATGGGATATCAGTGGGATTTCAGTGGCTTTTCAGTGGGATCCTAATGGGATTTCAGTAGGATCTCAATGGAATTTCAGTAGGATCCTAATAGGATTTCAACGGGATCCTAATGGGATTTCAACGGGATCTCAACGGGATTTCAGTGGGATCCTAATGGGATTTCAGTGGGATCTCAATGGGATTTCAGTGGGATCCTAATAGGATTTCAGTGGGAACTCAATGGGATCTCAGTGGGATCTCAGTGGGATCCTGATGGGATTTCAGTGGGATTTCAGTGGGATCTCAATGGGATCCTAATGGGATTTCAATGGGATCCTAATGGGATTTCAGTTGGATCCTAATAGGATTTCAGTGGGAACTCAATGGGATTTCAACTGGATCTCAATGGGATTTCAATAGGATCCTAATGGGATTTCAATAGGATTCCAGTAGGATCTAAGTGGGATTTCAATGGGATCTCAATGGCATCTCAGTGGGATCTCAATGGAATTTCAGTGGGATCTCAGTGGGATCCTGATGGGATTTCAGTGGGATTTCAGTGGGATCTCAGTGGGATTTCAGTGGGATCTCAGTGGGATTTCAACGGGATCTCAATGGGATTTCAGTAGGATCTCAATGGGATTTCAGTGGGATCTCAGTGGGATCTCAGTGGGATGCTAATGATATTTCAATGGGATTTCAGTAGGACCTCAGTGGGATCCTAATGGGATTTCAGTGGGATCTCAATGGGATCTCAATGGGATTTCAGTGGGATCTCAATGGGATCTCAATGGGATCTCAATGGGATTTCAGTGGGATTTCAGTGGGATCCTAATGGGATTTCAGTGGGATCTCAATGTGATTTCAGTGGGATTTCAATAGGATTCTAATAGGATTTCAGTGGGATCCTAATGGGATTTCAGTGGGATCTCAATGTGATTTCAGTGGGATTTCAGTGGGATCTCAGTAGGATCCTAATAGGATTTCAGTGGGAACTCAGTGGGATTTCAATGGGATCTCAATGGGATTTCAGTGGGCTTTCAGTGGGATCTCAGTAGGATCCTAATGGGATTTCAGTGGGATCCTAATAGGATTTCAGTGGGAACTCAATGGGATTTCAGTGGGATTTCAGTGGGATCCTAATGGGATTTCAATGGGATCTCAGTGGGAT